AAGCAGGTGTGATTAGAAAAAAATATATACCAAAAACTAAGCAACTTTTTTAAACTAAAATTTTTTCCCGATAACGCCATGTGGGATCCAAACCCCCCATATATATGTCTTTGGTGGCCATATTGGATCCGCCATTTTGAATTTAAAAAATCTGCTATCAGATTCGAAATCAGCGACCTCGAAAACTCCCCATTTATATTAGTTTATGCTAAAAAGGAAAAAGTTATAAAATTTGGTCGCCATATTTTAAATTCCAAAAATCTTACATCAGATTCGAGATCAGCGATCTTGAAAACCCCGCTTATGTATAAGTTTTTGGTGGAAGGGAAAGAAGTATAAAATTTGGTCGCCATATTGGATCCGCCATTTTTAATTTCGAAAATCTGACATTATATTCGAAATCAGCGACCTCAAAAAACCCCAAACACTAAGTTTCAAATCAATTTAGTTATTCCTCGACTTTTGGCCAGCAAATGATAGTCGCCAGACAATAGTGCACTGTATAGGTTAAGCACTCGTTCAGTTCAATGTTCTGATAATTTACAAAATTTTTAAGTAATAAAAACGACGACTTAAATTGATCACAACTTTTTTAATGTTATTCCTAACATTCGCAGTCGCATTCGCGAATGTGAAAAATGTGACATCCGAAACATCCCTAGTTTGGAGATTCATCGTGTTTTCGGGATTTTGTGAACTTTTCAGTATTGTTTTGTGACTACTCGAGCGTTTCTTTACTTTTCAATAATAGGAAGCAAAAAAAAATAATACTCCACATATCTTCCTTAAAATAATAAAAGTCAAAAGTGAACTAACATTATTATTATAAAATTTTACATATCACCGCTACTATGTTAAACTGTCGAATGTGCAAAAATGTTTTTTTTTTTTCATTTTCGGTACCATGCGCATGCGTTTAGAATGATATGTAAGTTGGCAAATCGTTGAATTTCTAGTCTTCTTAGAAGAAGAGATGCTGGATTTAACAAAGTATCGATACACACACACTTTTTCTTAATGACAACAACATTTTTTACAACAGTTTTTTTATACTCCTGAAAAGTACCCATTTTCACATTCGATAGATTGACATAGTAGCGACGATATGTATGTACATACATGAATGATTCTCGATAATGGCAACAATTTATTGTACACGTGCTGGGTAAGTGCACATAATTTGTATTTTAAGTAGGAGGAATCTAAGTCTGCGTAAAAGTCTACATCCCCTGTTTAGGGGTGTGGATTTCAAAGATTTCTGTAAATAATTTTGTGGAAAAAAATTTCTATGGTTTTCAAGAAATGTTAACAAACAATACTTAAATCACGACGGCGACGGGTGTTTTACGATTCAGCGATGTGTTGCTTGCAATATTCCCACATAAATAAGGCTCCGGTCACATGTACATTTAGAGATCTTAGTACCCCAAATTGGGGTATTTCGACTGTGTAATCCAAGAAACCCAAAATATCGCTTGGAATACCTTCTTTTTCATGCCTATAAATATTTAAATTTAATAATATAAACAACTATATATGTATGTATACTCACCCTAACACCAAGACGCATCTTCGGGGAAATTCAAAATTTATAATATTGACACTGTCGACTGTTTGCTCAGCACCTATAATCTTGAAACCATTGGTTTGTTTTTCTTTCAAAAATTCTTGTAAATCCGACAGTCGGATTTCGATAATATTAATATTTCTTTCGGCGGTCATGCTAAAAAATAAATAATTAAATACTCGAAATAGAGAAACATACACATTTTTAGCAATCGCACCTCAAACTTCTAAATTCTTCTTTTTTCGCAAGAATCTTTGAACTTAAAACCAAATTTCGTATGCCAAGCACTTCACACGTTCGCGCGATACCTCCCAAATTTGGAATTTTGTCTATAAGGCTTGCCACTACTATCATCTAATATGACTTATTATTAAATAAAACTCAATTTAGATTAAGACCCAAATTTTTTGTCACCTCGGATTCTGGTGCCCGTTCTGTTCTTAGACTACTCATAGCACACAGATCGTTTTCCGGATTCATTTTACGCTGAATATTTGTCAAATTAGTGTTTGGAATCCCGAACTGGTGTTGCGTTAGCATCTCCTTGTCGAAATTCCTCTTTTTCTTACAAAATATACATTTAGATAATTCGTACTTGCTATAATCGAAATTTGACAAGTACTCATCGGCTGGAGCCATGGTGATAAACATTAAAATGTCATAAAAATCGTTAGAATCATTCAAATATATATATGGCAGTAACAACCGTACATCGTTCAATAATTCTTTTAGTTGCGGTCCAACGGCCAAAGCTATGGCTTCTTTCATATTGATTGAGTTTGATGATAAAGTGTCATCATTACTGAAAAAGTAAGCATTTTATATTCAACTATGAAGTTATTTCGAACGCTGCGAAGCGAGTGCGGTAGGTCCATTTAAATAAGAATTAAAGAAACCTATGCATCTCCATATCGCTCATTTACTTCGATAGTGTCATAATCCAAAAAAAAAAACAAAAATTTAGTTAAGCATGCAGAAATTACCGCTACCTCTTTTCTTTTATGTCGTGTAAAAATTTCGAAACCGGTTTCGGCTACCAGTATCCATCGTAAAGTTCTATATCTAAGTAACGTAACTCTTCTTCTTACCGTTTTTTCTGACAGGCTGTAGGTGTGTTTTTGGTTAGTGTTTGGTATTTTTGGTTCAGTGTTCAGTTACTGTATTTTGAATAAATAATTTACAATTGTAACTACTATGTAGGGATGGAGGAAATTTGTATAAGATAACAGCAAATGCCAAAAAACAGGTGATCTCAGCTAGAGGAATTTTTTGGCAATCAGCTGATTGTGTTTTTACTTAGGAAACTGTACGATGTACGAGTATCTCACTGCAACAAAATATGTAGTTATTTTTATTATGGGAGTATATTTAAATGCATAACTTTAACGCCGTTTATCTCGAGAGTTTTGCTTTTTTTAGTTATGACACCTTTGAAGTAAATAAGCGATATGTATGTATGTACGAACCTATTGAATTTGTCTAAAATGTTGTAAATAGCCAGTTGAGCGTATAATCGCGTCTGGAAATGGGCGCCCATAGTAAGTGGAAGTAGCTTACTAATTATAACATCAAGATATTCCTTGGACACTGTTTGCCGATTCAGTACCGAGTAACAATGTACTATGCTAATAAGGGAGACCTGTTGGCTTGGTGTATAGTCGGCCAGCTTCAAATAAAAATATACATATATGTACATACATAAATTTATTATTATTTACACTTATACTTTTAAAGTTACATATCAGAAATCCAATAAGGAAGGGGCTCACTCATTATCACCCAACAAAAACTTTACAATTTTTGGGAAGTACTTTATTTTAGTCGCCTCAAGACAATTTTCCCTTATCCATTGCATTACCTGTAATGCAATGGATAACCGATAATTTTCTTGGTACAAAAATAAGTGCTTCCCAAAAAATTAAAAGTTTTTGCTGGGCATCTCCAAAATGAGCTACGTATGAAATATTCAAATACATACGACAATCAGCGATAAATCATGTTATTTCCAATATATTTTATGTTTGTGAGTTTTCGTTTTTTTGCTCTTCCTTTAAAGCGATATATTGTGGAAATATCATATTTCGATTAGATTCTCCTCATATACATATCATCAGGGAACGGATTTTATAGAATTGGTGTTGGAAAAATTCAAAGCCGTTTTCTCAGCTAACGTAGGCTTGGAGACAATAAGGGGTGTGGATAAAATTGCTGCTATTAATTCGCTACTACTAGTCAACACTCACAAAAGGGGTTGAGATTTATTTTCGTACAAAATTTTCCAAAAAGCTGTTATTTTCTTACTCGTTCGTTTTTAGGCATGCCATTGTTACGAATTTCGAAAGCTCGAAAATACGATTCGGACTGCAGCATACTATTTCTACGATTCGTAGCAAAACCCGAATGCGGAAGAGTTGCACAATATGGGTGATGGATTTACATCTTTTATCTCGTTTCCGACACAGAATTGTTTTCGTACAAAATTACGCAAAAAAGCTGTCAATTTCTTACTCGTCCGTTTTTAGGCATGCCATTGCTACATTGCATACAATTTCCACGATTCGTAGCAAAATCCGAATACAAAAGAGTCGCATAATAGGGGTGTACAATTAAATTTTTGCATCATATTAGCCCTGTATTAAATGTCACAAAATATTGAGTGTTCTTTCGGTTAAATAAAAGTTGTTCAGCATGAAAATGGCAATCATGTTTGTGTGGAACTATGGGAACGTACCCATACTACGCGACCCACTTTCGAAGCATGAAATTTAAGATATTTATTTTTTCTTAGTTTTGTTTGGGTTTAAAATTTAAACCGAACTGTTTAAATCAGGGACCGAAGATAATAGTTATTTTCAAAATTTCAATTCAAAAAGTCAGTCGGAAAGAATTGGTATTTTTAACATTTGTATATAGCAATGCGATGCTTGTTAGCCAAGGAAGTCAATATGTTTTTTTTTTACTTTTTTCAAAAAAGTCAGCAATTACCGTTATTTTTTTACTGATATCTTTTCAGTCAATAGTAAAAGTTAAAACTTGACTTTTATTTTTTCGGTCAAAAATAAAAGTTAAAAATTTACTTTTATTTTTTTGGTCAAAAATAAAAGTTAAAACTTGACCTTTATTTTTTCGGTCAATTATAAAAGTTAAATCTGACTTTTATTGTTTCGGTCAACATAGCAGTTTACATATTCACAATACAATATGTTTTAATAAAAAAATGCACATCCTTTCAATTGCAGTGTTCTATCTTCTGTAAATATATCGACTTTCTTTAATTTAAGCTTTAAGTTAATCACCTCTTTACAGGAATGATTCGGAATTCAATTCAACAATTAATATGGCTGCCAAGTTCAGCTCCGACAAATCGTATCGCAAATCGCTAAGAATAAGCTTAGTGCTGAGAGCGCGTGTTCTACGCTGATTTGTGTCGCTGGCAATAATACATGCCAGATCTCTTAGTCGGGGATATATAAATTTTTTACTCTCCCAGTAATCCATAAGGTCCGTATCAACATCAATGGACTTCTCCTTATAGGTGCCTATTTCCATAAATGCTTTTCGAACGTAATCTTCGGAAAAAGTAAAAGTCAAGTTTAAACTTTTATATTTTACTGAAAAAATAAAAGTCATATTTTTTCTTTTATTTTTGACCGAAAAAGTAAAGTCATATTTTAACCTTTATATTTGACTGAAAAAATAAAAGTCAAATTTTAACTTTTATTTTTGCCGAAAAAATAAAAGTCATATTTTAACTATTATTTTTGACCGAAATACTAAAAGTCAATTTGTAACTTTTATTTTTGACTGAAAACATATCGGAAAAAATTACGATTATTTGTTAACTTTTCCGATAAAAAGCATAACCGTTACGTTTAAATTCTAAACCCAACATATGTGCTCTCTTTTTTTAAACTTGGAAGGTTTGTATTTGAAACTGAATTTAGTTTGGTCATATACAGATGCGTGCAACTAATTAGCAACGAAATTCAAAACGATATTGCTTGCAAATTATGTTTATTCATTTATTTTTAATAATTTTCATTTAAAATATAATTCAATCTATAACACATGATCAAAATATTTTTTTACATGGAAAAAAATCCGCAACACCTTCGACAAAAAAAATTCTAAAAAATCAACGGTAATTTTTAGCGACTTGAAACTTGCACTTTGTTATACTAAAATTGAATGGGCTACAAAACTGCATACCCGAAAATTTTCTAAATATTCTAATTAAAAATTTTGAAATTTTGATGACAATTTTTTGAAGTTTGATTAATTTTTTTGCAATTTGTGCAAGCTTTGCAACTTTTGTTATTGTGGTTTCTGATATAGATTGAATTATATTTTAAATGAAAATTATTAAAAATAAATAAATAAACATAATTTGCAAGCAATATCGTTTTGAATTTCGTTGCTAATTAGTTGCACGCATCTGTATGTAGTCCAAAAAGTTTAAAATTAAAACCGAAATTTTTAACCGTGAGCGTATTTTTTAACCGATCTGGACTCGGATAAATAGCCGAGCTCGTATTGTTGCTTTGCGTGTATTTCGTCATTTAAGCGAGTGTTTTTTTTGTAGTTCGGTTGCAAAAGAATGCACCTATAATGTGAATACTTTTAGTGATAACTGTCATTTGCCATCTTTGGTATATGTATGCAATATAATATATGTACATATTTATATGTGTGTATGTTTATATGTATGTAAGTCCTAGGGAGCCTTTTGGGGTTTTGCTAAAATATTTTGTAGTTTTTCTTACTTTAATCAATTTATTAAGGATGACATCACCGTCGGGAGCACATTTCGCCACTAGAAGTTCGTACACATAATTGATGTTCAATTGATTGTTATAATTCAGAGGCAGGTTCAATAAGTCCTCGTTCCAAAAATTTATGTTTGATTTATTTATGATTGTTGATATGGCCTTTGCTATTCTCATCTTTATTCTATGCTCCATGGAATTTTCAAAATATCTTGGTTTTTTAATACTCAAAGCTTTATGCATGCTAAGAAGTTCATTTAATATGGCGTTGGTATATTCAACGGGCACAAATGAAACGTATTGTAAACGTATTCGTTGTAAGCGAGAACACTGCGTTTTGTCTATTTTTAATAAATACAATTCCTCTGTCCTTCAGGTAAGAAAGAAAATTAAAGTGTTATATGTTGATTTATTAAATTAAACTTTTGCAGCTATTTTACCTCGCATCCCCAAAGTTTGCGTCTCCGAGCGTCATACCCTTGATGTAAGTTTCTTCGGTCAGAATAATACCAGAATTCAAAACCGCTGTACAAATACCAAGGTTTTCAAGATCTATACCTAAAATTTGGTGCGAATAGTCTTCCAGCTGATTTGGCGAATACATTTTTTTTAAATACCTCAATAAATTCGTCGTTCTGTAAAATTAAATTTTACTAATTAGTTCGTGGGACAAAAGCTCATAAGAGGAGAAGGTTTTCAGTTCATCGGAATATTTTTTTCTTTTTAATGTATGTTACCGCATAAGAATGTATCATTAACCAAGAACAAAAACACGAGAATTTAAAAAAATAAGATGTCATTATTTCATATATGGCGAAAAATATGTACATCTGACTGGCAAAAGTTTAACTTTTGTTAATTCGAAAGTTACCTACACTATATAACAAAGCGATTGCATCCGGGAATATTTTTTAAGTGCTATTAAAAATGCGTCGATGATATTTACATCGAGTTTGTTGTTTGGTAACAATTTTGAGAGTTTTAAAAGCGTTTTATGCGATCCAGTGGTTAAAATATCTTCAATTTTTACTATGTAATTTTGTAAATCGGAAAAATTTGTTAAGTACTCTTTAACAAAAAAGTCAATAAACTTTTTGCGAAAAAATTCGGCTGTATCTGCATCCTTAACCATATCTGACACTATTTGATGCTTCAGCTCTTCGAAAGGCACATCAATTAGTTTATTCAAATTTATATTCCAAAACCGACGACAAATGTTCTGCACAACTTCCTTGTTTTCACACTCGAAAACTAGCATCAGAAGTATCCAAATAAGCTTCTCTTTGTCCGAGTTTTTAACATTTTTTAAACTATTTGCTATTTTATCTAACAGTTTTGACTGCGTGGTGGCCAATTCATTCGTATTATCAGTGGCTTGTCTGTAGTTAGGATGATTGGATGTTAGTTCGCCGTACAAATTATTTGTAACGATCTCATAAAACCGTTGAGTAAACAAAACACCATCAATATTTCTGACACCATCTTCAATTTTGAGATAAAATGTGTCAAAGTGATTAAAGGGATCGGTAAGATTATATAACGATTCGACTAAAACGACATATTCATTCAACGGCATTCTAGAAATGGCTTCGCGAAATATGTGTTCAAACAATTCAATTGCTTTTATTCGGATATGTTGGTTTTGAAGTCCACGAATTCTGGCTGCGATTTTTAAAATCAACTCGCGCGAATATACCGTTGATATTGATTTACACATGAAAATATTGGAGAGCCAAAAGTGCAAGGGGACGCACTTAAAATTAACCTCCGACATACATCCCATAAATCGGTCAAGCCCTTCGTTCAAAAATTGTTGCATATTTCCGGTTGGTAAAAAATAGCTCTCGTGATTGAATAAACATGTACGATTGCTGGCCTTTACAAATTGCAGTAATACATCAGGGTTTATATTTGCGCAGGTAAAAGTTTCGAGAATGTACTCAAGTGCCCAACGGAGCACGAGAATATTTCGGTGCGCCAGAATTTTAATGTACAGAATATCAAGCCATGGTTGTATTTCGGCGGTTGTTAAGGTGTTTTGCTTGAGGCATTCTAAAGACGGTAATATTAGATGTGATTGATTTTCTTCCAAGTTTTCTAACACGGTGATGTACGATAACCAAAAGTTTTTAACGTTTTTATCAAGATGGCAATTCATTTTTTTCATAAGAAATACAGCTGCTTTGCGCTCGTCGCGTCCTTCTGATAACAATAGTTTATAAACAAATTTTTCGACATAAGGTTTGCGTTGGAAGTCGTCTATGACTATTGAAAACTCATCAAAAAACTGAATTAGAACATATACCGAAGTTATGGTAACTGCTTCGCTTTTCGCATTATCTGTGAGAAATGCGTCCCAAAGGCTTTGTACAATACGTCTATCAAAAAACGTTCTTGAATATAACTTTAAACATAGTAGTACATCGGATATTGTTGTTTTGTGCCATGTCTTGGAAAAGAGTATGTTAACTAATAAATCCGCCCATTTAGAAGTTGGAATTGGTGCACCTGGGTCTTGGCTCAGCGACGATTCTTTCACGAACTGATAAATGTCTCGTAGAATCCGCTTTAGGGATGTCTCGTCTTGGCTATATAATCCCAGCTTACAGTAGAAGTAGTCATTCTCTAAAGTAGCACCGTTTCTTATTTCCATTTTGTTTACTTCGCTCATCTTTCCATTCAACGTGTTTGGCGCATCGGAAACATCCTTTATTGCTTCAAATGGCTCAGAAAGTGCTACGTTGAAGCCATTCACAAATTCAGCGGTTTCTCCTGGATTCATTACAATCAAATAAAATTATATGCACCTTTTCAATTTTAACACTATTAAAATAAATAAACCGTGTTCAATAAGGATGGTTTATTTTAGAGCTGCAAAACTATCGATAGTGCTATCGAATGGTTCTATTTTTTGCACTATCGACTTCTAAGGTAAAGCAGTGTTTGCATTGTTCAACTTTGCGTTCAACTCAACGCAGGGTTGCACGCAGAAAAAAGTTGAATGGATTAATTGGCTTTAAAAACGTTTTCACCGTTCGTGTCCGGACAACTTTATTTGCTTTCAAAGCATTTTTTCCGGATAGGGTTGTTGTTGTTGTTGTTGTTGTTGTAGCAGCATACAAGGTCGCCAAAGAGTTTTTGGGGAATGTTGCTGGAGTGACAGTCCTTGACCAATCATAAATCTGGGTCGTTCCGGTTACGTAGACCCGGCTGTCATAGGAACGGAGAGGGTGCTGATGTACGGTTCAGCGTTCAGTCGGCAAATTTTTAAATAGAAAAATAAAGAGCTAAATCTAGCTCTAAAAGTATCAAACTGGCAAAACTAGCCCAAAGTGCACAATTGCCGTAATGTGTAGTAATCCGAGAAACAATCGATGAAGAAAAATTTTACGCCGTTGGATTGGCTTCGGCGGAAAACTGCATACTGCATATTTCAAAAACTTACTAGCGCCCTGTACTTCCGGTAAGGAATTCCAATGGTGTCCGGTAGTGCATTCCAGAATAATTCCAGCAAGTTTGACATTCCATTTTGAACTGACATCCTAATTTATTTATTGACCGTTTTTCATTCTGTTGCTACTCGACATTTCCATTTAATTCCCTGGCATTGACAGGTATTTATTTGTCATGTAGATGGTCATGTAGATATTTAGTTTTTATTCGAGTGACGGCAAGTTTTCGTGATTGCAATAAAATATTTGTTTGCGTTTGATTGCGTCGAGTGATGAATACAAAGTTGGAAAACGGTCAGGGGAAATAAATTAGTGCTACGTTACCAGACCACATCGCAGACGACGAGAGAAACTTTTGTTATACATAAGTATAAGTGAATTTTTACCTCGGATCAATATCAATAAGCTCGGTACGGATATCATATCAGTATTAGGGATTGAAGAGATATATTTTCATATTAAACAATGCTTATACATATATACATACATATGCATATCTATATAGATACAGTTCAATGCCCAGGTATTTAGTTCACAATTCACATGATTCATCGGGTTTGAAATTACTGTTTTGCACTCCTGACTACACTTTTTTAGGTTGCCTCATGTTTTCCCTGCTTGCAAAGATCTATAAAGACACTATCAACTAGCATTTGTACATACCTACCTACATACGTATGTACATACATATGTACATTAGGCTGAACTACCAAAAAAGTTCGGTTTTTCCGCCGGTATTACACAATTTATTATACACATTTGAAGACTTCCACCAAAATATTTCGTAAAATATTGAAAATTACGTGAGCTGGGCCTACTTGAAAATACCTCCAAAAATTGAGTTTTTTTTAACAAAATCCTCTCAGATGACAAAACAGTTAAAGCCTATAATATCTGCATACAAATATTAAAAGAATATTTCAACGAAATCATAATACATATAGAGAATTTTGATGTTGTTTTTTTAACATAAAAAACAATTGTTTGAGAAAAACTTGAATAACTGGACCAAAACTATTCCGATTAAGACTAGTAGATATCAGTGGAAAGCTATTTTCTCACCCTTTTTATTTCTCTGCATTTTTCCTTTTTTAAATACTAAGATAACACATCTTAGTTCAACTGGGAATGAGGCTCATTTATCTTACCTTTATCTTTCTTAATTTAAATGAGCTTATTTGCAAATAAATAAAAAGTATGAAAAAATACCTTTCCAATGATGCCTCACGAGTCTAATAGTAAAGTTCTGGCTGAGTTATGCAAGTTTTTCTTTTGCGAATCTTTGAAAAAAGTAAAAAAAATAGTTCGAAAATAGCATAAAAAATCGCATTATTATGATACCGTTGAAAATTTTTAATATTTGTAGGCTGGTTTTTTAAGTTTAAATTGCTTTGTTATCTGGGGTGATTTTGTTTTTTCAAAAACAACTTAAAAAACTATTTTTATTCATAAAAACTCAATTTTTTTCCCCCGAAACCTTTTGGTGGGTGCAAGTTTTAAAAGGTATATAATCTGCCTTATCCTGCGCTTCGTCTGAAAAAATTTCACCAGAAAATTTTTATGGAAACCAAAATTGAAAAGTGAACAGGTTCAGGGAAAATTAAACTCGTAATAAGGCTGAATATACTTTATAATTCCAGTGGAAAAACAGTACCGATTTCTTTTGTATGGGGAGTGATGCAGTCTAATATACATATGTATGTATATAGTACCCGTGGGCTCTTATTCTGAAAGTTAAGCAACATTTCAGTTTATAAAGGGGATGCAATAATGTATTACTTACGATTTACTGGCAACTGCTACATTACACTATGTATATAGTATGTAGATATGTACATATGTATGTATTGAACAGTACCAAATACGCAAATAAGCAATAACAACTTTGTTAACGCTTGGATTAATGTTTCTTACATGGGAACTTACAAAGCTAAGCTCAATAAACGCTTATAAAGTAATTACATTTGTTTATAGATTGTTTATAAAGATATTAGCTTTATAAAACGAATTTAATATTTAAAAGTAATTATTAAGTATGTACAATCTCGGTATCGAGCGCACTTTTCCACATTCGTTTTCTTATATTTTTAAGTTATTTTTACTGATGGAGGAAAACAGAAGGAAGAAACTAGCGATGCATCGAGTTTTTCCACCAGATCGTTGACAAATAATATTCGATTAGACTAACAGATTCTTAATTATGCCATCATCGAATCTCCCCAACTAGCCGTTGAACATTTCTGCTTGGAATCCCTTTTGAAGGATCTTAAACTTAGACTTTAAATAGCGCAGAAAGCAGACGTGGGGGACAGTTTTATAAAAGAGGTTTATAGCCAAGGATCCAACATATATATCCCTATAAATGAATATTGCTTAACAAGGCTCGACCTATTCGATATAATTAAGATATTGAAAATATTATAACGACATTAATTGTAGCTTTTTTGTTGTAAATTTTTCGTGGTAAGTTTTTTAAGAAAAAATGGTATGTGGTGCTAACTTGACACCATACACCTAGTCGATATAATTGAGATATCCAATATGTTACTGTGCCATTATTTGTGGCTTTTGACTTTAAAATTTGTTGTGAATTTTGTAGCTTTCGTTTTTCGGTGACCCTTTTTCTAACAAAATTTACTATGTAATGCTAACCTGACACCAGGCACCATTGGCGACAGAATTGAGATTTAAAAGGTTACAACAGAATTAATTGTAGCTTTTTTTTTGTAAATTTGTTGTGGAAAGAAAAAAGTTGTAGCTTTCCTTTTTTAGGAAAAAATGGTATGTAGTGCTAACTTGACACCATTCACCTAGTCGATAGAATTGAGATATCCAATATGTTACTACGCCATTAATTGTAGCTTATGACAAAGAAAAAATGTGTAGCTTTCGTTTTTTCTGGAAAAAATTTAGTTGACCGTTTTTCGAACCAAATTTAGTATGTTGTGCTAACCTGACGCCATACCCCATTGGATTGGATTAAATTGAGATAGCGAAAAATTTGCAACGGCATTTATTGTAGCTTCTCTATTACGACTTTGTTGTGAAAAGAAAAAAATTTTAGATTTCGTTTTTCAAGAAGAAGTTGTAAATATGTAGCGCTAACTTGACACCATACACCTACTCGATAGAACTGAGATTTCCAATATGTTACTATGCCGTTAATTGTAGCTTTTGACAAAACAACAGCAAAAGAGCTACAGTTTGATTTGGGATTAAAAAATGATAATTTCAGAATTTCAAGAATCTGAGCCAGAGTAATACTTAAATGGCATGTAATCAGTGTATTCTTATAATTGCAAGCGTTTTTATTCACTATGGAAAATTATATTGAGCTCAAAAGAGAAAAACTCATTTTCTTACGTGTTATTCCTATGGAAAAAATAAGCAATCGATGCGCGACCCCTTAGGGCCAGTTTTTCAGTGCCAGTCTAAAGTTAGATTAAGTAAACTGAGTTTAAATTGAACAGCTGGCTGACATCTGATTGGCTAATCTTAATTTAAACCAGCCGGATCGGGCGTTTAAACTGAGTTTAAACCTCCGTCGTGCACTGATAAACTAGCCCTTAGAACTGGGATAGAGAGGGGACTTTAAGGGAGGATAATTACTATACCAAATACTAAAATCTGAGTCAGATTGCGTTCGCATTGCAGGATTTTAAGTTGTCTCTTGACATGGTCTAATATACGGTCATGTGAAAAATAATAGGGACACGACATTTTGACCAGTTTTGGCTATTTTTCTTTTGTTTGTTTAATTTTTATTATTTTTTTTATAAAATTTAGCTCATTATCTAAAAAAAATGCATATAGTTAGAAATTTCAAACTTTGTTGAAAAATTTAACAAATTAAAAAAAAACGACAATATTAATTACTATAAATTCTATAAACCAAAGCAGCTACTACACTTCTGTAACAAATTAATTTGTATCACAATTTTTTATCTATAAACATTTTTTAGAGAAAAATAACAAAAAGTTGGATTATTACATATTTATATGACAGCCAAGAAATAAATTGAAGTTCTTCCATGGACGCCTATCAGTTATTTCATCTGCTGAAATTTTAGATGCTATACCTATAACGAAAAAAAAACTCAATGCGTGTTGTCCCTACGCGCGGAGGAAGTTAAACTAAATAGAGAAAATGCCAGAAAAAAATATACAAAAAACATATTTAACTAAAATCTTTTCAACGACCTTTAATTTTTTACTTTTTATAACAAACTGCAAAGTTTTATTATTATTTGTGGCTGAGAAAATATTCATATCTGCAATATTAACTAGTAGATTGTGGTAACTAAAGTATGATATGAAATGTTTTATGTCAATATTACTAATATTTCTGGGAAAAGCCGCATCAGTGGTACCCGCTCCTTTGGTTGTTGGCTCATTTCTACCATTAACCATTTCCAGTGAAAATTTTTCTTTAAAAAATTTTGTCAGTTCATCAGGTTTGGCCAGCGAAAAGTTGACGTTGAAATCTCCTGCGCGTATTACAGGTCTTCCATAACGGTCTACTTATCTTTATCTTCCATCTATATCATTCATCTTCTTCTTCATCTTCATCTTCATCTTCTTCTTCATCTTTATTCAAACCCATTTCTTTTGATACCCATATTGGGATAGTTTATTTGTTTTAATAAATAATTTGAATTTGATTTTCGTATATATGGCATCCCTTTAAAAAAACTAAAATCATATTACACATCTACAAGTCATGCCCTTTCATTTGACACCTCATCTTTTAAAATCGAACGAATGAT